CATGATATATTTGCTTGGGAGAAGTCCAACATCGGAAGAACCAACATGACTTATCATAGTATAGATCTAACTGACTCAAGACCAATTAGACATCAACCAAGAAGAGTATCTCCTGATAGAAGAAAGTTTATCTAGGAAGAAATACAAAGAATGTTAGATGCGGGATTCATTCGTGAATCAAATAGTGAGTATGCCTCAGGAGTTGTAGTATTAGAAAAGAAAGGAGGAGACTTAAGATTCTGTGTAGACTATAGAGACTTAAATAAAAAGACCAGAAGGATTCTTATCCTTTACCAAGGATTGATGATACTCTAGGAACACTACAAGGATCACAATGGTTTTCGTCCTTAAATTTGGCAAGTGGATACTGGCAAGTAGAGATGAAACCAGAAGATATCCAAAAGGCTGCTTTTATCACACATCATGGACTCTTTGAATTTACAGTAATGCCTTTCGGATTGACAAATACTCCTGGAACTATCCAGAGATTGATGGATAAAGTCCTCCAGGACATGCTATGGAAATCAGTAGTAGTATACCTTGATGATGTCAATATCTTCTCGAAGTTATGGAAGGAACATCTAGAACATCTAGAAAATGTTTTTGAATGTATACAAAAAGCAGGATTGAAACTCAGCCCACAGAAATGTCAATTTGGAAACACAGTGCTGAAATTTTTGGGACACATAGTTGGAAATGATGGAATCAAGATGGACTCAGCAAAGATAGAGAAGGTGCAGAACTTTCCTAAACCTATCAATGTCACCCAAGTAAGGACTCTGCAATTACTATAGAAAATTTGTAAAAGGATTTGCAAAGAGATCTTCACCTTTAACAGAAATATTAAAGAAAGGAGAAGAGTTTAATTGGACGAATAGACAACAAAGGACATTTAAAGACTTGATAAAACAACTCACCACTGAGCCTATATTAGTATATCCAAACCGGAAGCAACCATTCATCTTATCTGTGGATGCATCAACATTTGCTTTAGGAGCAATTCTTTTACAACTAGATAATAAAGGAAATGAAAGAGTGATTGCATATGCTAGCAGACAACTAAGACCAGCAGAGAAGAACTATACAGCAATAGAATTAGAATTCCTCGGCATTATATGGGTTATAAAACATTTTCATACATACCTTAGTAGATCCAAGTTTAAATTAATTACAGATCATGCAGCATTGAAGTATTTAAACAATATGAAAGAACCAAAAGGAAAATTAGCTCATTGGATTATGACATTACAGTCATACAATTTCGAAGTAGAACATAGTTCAGGAAATGTCTAGAATAGAACATTTTAATTAATTAGTATATAACATTTATTTTTATTTTTCTTTTTTTTCTTTTCTCATATATTATTTTTATCATTTATATTATTTATTTAATTATTACTTAACTTGCAGACATGATGACTTGGTGGATGATCATGATGGTGATGCACAGATCTGGTTGGGGTGCATTACACTTTTTAACTTTGTACATTTTTTACACTTTACACTTTTATAAATTAGTATTATACTATCTTTATTTATTATTTATCCAGATTAATCTTTCCAGAATCATCTACAGATGAAGAACAAAAGAAAATAAGAAGTCAATCAATATATTTTCTTGTCAGAGAAGGATTCTTATACAAAAAGAATAGGAAAAACCCTCAAAGACCCACCCCTTCAGGTGGTGAAATCAAATGAGGTAGAAATCATTTTACACAACTTACATGCCAATTTGTTGGCTAGACACTTTGGGATTGAAGCAACCTATCATAGGATTGCTGAAAGATTTTACTTTGCCTGTTTTGCA